CCCTCACTGACTTCTGAGCCTCCGGCTTGCCATCAACTATATGTTCTCAAGCAGTTTCTTGGAACCACGAGGGCTAGAAACATGGTGTTCTTCCAGAAAGACGAATGACAGGGCAAGACCAAGCCAATGGTCCTGGATGATGATGATGTTCTGTGAAAGTGAAATCCACCCTGAGCCTTTTTTTGAGAGAGAGAGAGAGAGGAAGAAAATAGAAATTGCAGCTTGACTATGTACCTGCCTCATCGAGAATATCCAATGGCCTTTTGGAAACGCACCTTTGGGACAAACCTGGGTGATTGAGAATCTCCATAGATGTTGGTTGGGAGCAAAGGTTATCCATGTGTCTGCTCCTCTCCCTGACATTTCATTTGCAAACAGCTCCACTTATGGAGCCACGATGGCGCAGTGGTTAGAGTGCAGTACTGCAGGCGACTTCTGCTGACTGCCGGCTGACTGCAATTTGGCAGTTCGAATCTCACCAGGCTCAAGGTTGACTCAGCCGTCCATCCTTCTGAGGTCGGTAAAATGAGGACCTAGATTTTGGGCGCATTATGTTGACTCTGTAAATCGCTTAGAGCAGGGGTGTCAAACTCAAGGCCCAGGAGCCAGATCCTCCCCGTGGGGTGCTTAGAACTGGCTCGTGGGGCTGTCCTGGAAACAGTGAAGGACTGGCCCACAGTGCCTCTGCCAGCGAAAATGGAGCTCAGGAGGGCTGTGCACGGCCCTCCCAGGTCCCGTTTTCAGCCATTGTGGCTTCCTGCAGCCCTCTGCCAGTGAAAACAGAGCTCCATTTTCGCTACAGAGGGCTGTAGGAGGCTGTTGTGGCTGAAAACAGAGATTGGGAGCCTGTTTTCGCTGGCCAAGCGCTCAGGCCACCACCGGCGCCCCCGACACGAGTGACATTGAGCTGGCCATGCTCACCCTGATCAAGCCCACCTCCCTTCCAACAACCCTGATGCAGCCTTCAGTGCAATTGAATTTGACACCCCTGGCTTAGAGAGAAGGTTGCAAAGCAACATATAAGTCCAAGAGCTATTGCTATTGCTGATATCAGCTGTTCAGATGGGCAACTTCCCTTAGGTGGTTTCTGCTGGAAGTCTTACACTTGGACTTAAGTGATATAAATGAAATGGCCTATTTGGTGGGCCTACTGGTGCATGAAAGCAATATTGGCATCCTCTTGGAAAGCACCATGAGAAACAGTTTTAAATAATCTCAGTGATTGCTGGGTACATTAGGGCATATTGCCATGAAAATAGGAACGTGACATCCCAAAATAGCTCCCATCATTTTGCATCCTCCCTCCATCGAGCTGTTGTGGATGAGAAACAAACAACGATGCAAAAAGCTTGATTCAGCCTTGGAAAAGCCAATACATGAAAAGAAGAATTGCTTCCGTATCTCCTTGGCTCCCTTTTTCTTTTTCTTTTTTGCAAACTTGTGCCTGATGCAAAATTACTGCGTACTGCGTAATGGGTTTCTGGTAAGCTGGATACACTGCCAGGTCTCCATCAGAGGTACCGCTTCTAATACCCAGATGGGAGATTTGTTAAAGGAACTCGTGTAATTGGCAATCCTCTTGGATTGCCCTGAAAAAAATGTGGGAAATGGATAAGCATGAAGAATCTTTATAGAGCTTTTTCAAACTGTGCTCCACAGAAACCTGTATGGTCTGCAAGAACTCGATGAAATTCAAGGGGGAGATGAGAGAAAAACAAAAAATCACTTGAAAACAGACAATTTTCTACCATTAGAGTTGTGCCTGCTATTCATGGATTCTGTTGTTTTTAACGAAGAGGTTTCACATCAGAGGTGGTCTTCAGCAGGTTCTGACCAGTTCTGGAGAACCACTAGCAGAAATTTTGAGTAGTTCGGAGAACCAGCAAATACTACCTCTGACTAGCCCCGCCCCCATCTATTCTCTGCCTCCCGAGTCTCAGCTGATTGGCTGGGTCTTTTTTTGTGTTGCCCTGCACAGGAGAACAGAGCTGAAAAGTAGGTTAGTGGAGGGGGGAGGGGATGGGATTTTGCAGTAACTGTCAGCTTTGGAAACCATATTCCACGCTGCCGCATAGCCTGAGGAGCTGGGAGAGGGATGATTTCATTTGAGCAGTTCTAAGTAGACAAAATAAAATTATTTTCTTAGTTCAAGGTTATTAAGTGTGATGCAGTAGAGAAAAAGAATCTTATACTGAGAAAGATTGTGATTAGTCCATGTGATGTGAGGATGGGAGAAAGGGGGATGGATTGTAGTTTGGGACATTGTGGGAAGTTTAGGAAACTTTAGTTTCGAGATTTCACGGATGTACCAGGTGCTATTCTAATTAAAGGTACTTTTGAGATTATGCTTGTACCGGAGTTACTGATTGGATTTTACAGTTTCCTTCCCCTGCCATGCCCACCAAACCATGCCCATCAAGTCACACCCACAGAACCGGTAATAAAACAAATTTGAATCCCACCATTGTTTCACAGCCTGAAAAAGCTGGAAAATTCCTGTCCTTTGACTCTGAGCCAAAATGATGTTTTAACTTCCTGCCTTAAGAGAGAAGAGTGGTTACTTTTTCCACATGCTATGAATGCCACTGGAGCAGATAGCCAAGGGCTTTGACCATAGCCATATCAGAGGGTGTCTGTGGAGATTCTCCGTCATCCAGGTCACTGGGGGAAACAAAACGACTGCTTCATAAATGCATGGCACAACACAGGAGAACAAACCCATCAGGATAAGAATCAGCAGTCCGTCTGCATTTAAAAGACAAAATGCCACTCTTTTGAAGACGGTCAAGTCTGCATTTTGGACCGAGAGAACCACTGGTTTGTAAGAGGGGTGAAAGAGGCCAACTGTGTCAAAATTGAACGGCCCTCTCTCAACAGAAGGGGAGGGATACGACATCATCTATACCTGTTCTGACCCAAACCTTGTTCCAAGGAAACAAACAAGAAACAGAGGCAACAGCAAAACCTTTTAATGATTCTTTATAAATTCCATTCCTTCACAGTTAAAAGGCTGTTTCAAACTAATTGTCTCTGATAAGAACAAGCCTTGCCAAGGTTGTTCAAGGCTGCCAAGAACACTAGATAAAGCTACTAAGAAATATTTCAAACACAAAAAATCTCCAAACACCAACCAAGATACTCTGAACGTCCATAGGCTTATTTGCTTCCTGCAAAGAACTCCGGTTTCTCAGCTGTTTTTTATCTCCTGAGGGAGGGGCCATTACTTTGCAACCTTACTCCCGAGTCGCCCCTGCTGCTGCAGCTGCTCTTACCTTTGAGCAGCCCTGCGCGCACATGCACTGGGCACAGGCTCCTTGGGAACCTCTTTATCATTGCTGCCAGCCTCCACAGTCTCCAAAGGCAGCATTCCACTCCCTGATGGTCCTGGTCCCATCCCTGCATCACACACAGGCCCCTCATCGGAGTCCTTGCTCTCTGAGACCTCAGCCATCCACACCTGCTGCCGGTGAACCACAACAATATCCAAGCCTACAACACTGTTCTTTCAACAGTTCCAAGAAGGCTCCACACCCTTTTGTTCCACTCAGGTGACCCTGAGGACACCTCCACCAGAGTCACTTAGCCTTCTAACTTAAGTCTAAATAAATAAATGCAGCAGGATGGCTGTTGTACCCATTAATTCACACACCTAAATACACACACCCTCCCAAAACTGTCCATTTTTGTTTATGTACCACTTACATAATTCAATATTATCTACTCTAATCGAAAACATGTCTTTCATTTCAGTGTGGTTTTCTTTTCGTTAGGTATGTGTGAACTGAATTAACTATTTGGGGAGGATAATAATAATATATTTTTTTAATAAATTATGTGAGAGGGATCTCAGAGTCTTAGAGGAATTTCAGAGATGTGAGGGGGATCTTGGAGTCTTAGTGGACAACCAGTTAAATATGAGCCGGCAATGCAGGGCAGTAGCCAGAAAAGCAAATGCAATCCTAAATTGCATGAACAGAGGGATACAATCAAGATCAAGTGAGGTACTAATACCACTCTATAAAGCAGAGATTTGTGGACTTCAACTCCCAGAATTCCTCCTCCAGTCATGTTAGCTCAGGAATTCTGGGAGTTGAAGTCCACAAGTCTTAAACTTGCCAAGTTTGAAGACCCTTGCTATAAATTCTTAGTAAGGTCACCCCTGGAATACCGCATCCAGTTTTGGTCGCCACACTATAAAAAAGATGTTGAGACTCTAGAAAGAGTACAGAGAAGAGCAACAAAGATGATTAGGGGACTAGAGGCTAAAACATACGATGAACGGTTGCAGGAACTGGGCATGGCTAGTCTAGTGAAGAGAAGGACTAAGGGAGACATGATAGCAGTCTTCCAATATTTAAGGGGCTGCCACAGAGAGGAGCGGGGTGTCAAGCTATTTTCCAAAGAATCCAAAGTCCAGACAAGGAACAATGAACGGAATCTGAACACAGAGAGAGATTCAACCTGAAAATTGCCTTCAGAAGTTGTGGGAGCTTTCACTGGAAGCTTTCAAGAAGAGACTGGACTGCCATTTATCAGAAATAATGTAGAGTTTCCTGCTTGAGCAGGGGGGTTGGACTAGATGACCTACAAGGTCCCTTCCAACTCTGTTAATCTAATCCTATATCCCACCTAAGTCTTAATGACTTATATATCGTGGGCAATGAAATGTATGAGAAGGCTCCTCCTTCTTTTTCCTCCTCCTCCTCCTCCTCCTCCTCCTTTCGCGCCTCTTGTTTGGAGGGGGGTGAGGGGAGAAAGGGAAGGCGGCGCTGGGTAAGGGGAGAAGCAACCGCCTATTAAAACCCCCTCGCGGGGCGGAATAGCGGCGGAGTAGCGCTTTGGAGCGGAGAGAGCGAAGGAAAAGAGAAACGCGGGGGGGGGGGGAGAGAGAGAGAGAGCTGGCCGCTCCTTCCAATGCGAAGAGGAGGCAGCGGCGGCGGCGGCGGCGGCTGGACGGCAGGAGGAGGGCGGCTGTGGAAGCGCAGAGGGGCTGCTCCGAAATGCTGGAGAATGGCTCCCTGAGGAACTGCAGCGGGCTGGCGGGACGAGCCCCCTTCGCCTTCCCTTCGAGCCCGCGCGGGGGAGACGACGGCGAGGCGGCTGCAGACCCGAGACCGCGCTGGGTGGTGCCGGTGCTGTCCAGCGTGCTGATCTTTACCACCGTCGTCGACGTGGTGGGGAGCCTGCTGGTCGTCGTCTCGGTTTTCAAGAACCGCAAGCTCCGGAACGCAGGTAAAGGGGAGAGGCAGCCCGGCGGGCGGGCGCTCATTCCCACCCCGGAGGACGAATCATGTGTCCGTGAGTTCCCCCCACCCCCCGGGACACGAAGTGTCTCTAGGAGGGGAGTGGGAGTGGGAGAAGAAGATGCCAAGTCTCTTCCTTGGCTGGGTGGCTCGCCTACTGCTTGCAAGAGGTCGGTCCCTTACCCAAGGGGAAACGGAGGCTCAAGAGAGTTGGAGGGGTTAAGGTTGGGCACGGAAACTCCGGGGCATCTTTCCCGCGAGGAGACAGGTGGAAGAACTTCAGACTAAACAACGGTCAGATAAGCAGCATATTTTTAGCTCACGGAAGGAATGTGCATGTGGCAATCATTTCAGAAGGGACGCTTGCTAGTTAATTGGACTGTATAAGAGGGAGAGGTATACTTTTAGACTTGCAACGTTGGGTTCAAGTTACCTTACAATAAGGTTAGAACCAGTTCCTTCTGGAGAAGCTTCTTGTCTGGACTACCTCACAAAGCTGATGTGTGGCTACCTTGATTTTCCTTTTCTCTCACTCATCTGTTCTTCTTCAAATATTTGTTTTGCAATTCACTTCTCGTTCCTTCTCTGTACACAGCCAAACCACTTCAATGTATACGTCTTTGTGGCACTCAGTTAACTGAAAACATTTTCCTGGGGATAATTCCTGTTGGGCATAAAACCATGCCTGGTCCCTACCTAGGGCTCAACACAGATTCTGAAATTGAAGAGCATTTGAGGTGGCCCCCCCCCCCAAAGTTTTCCTGCTGCCGAATGAGATTGATATCCCATCATTCACAATCTCCCCTTAAAGATTTTCCTTCTTACCTATCTGCAATTTTAGTGTCCGTACAGTAAACCTTAGTACAGTTAGTCCTCACTTAAGAATGGTGATTGGGACCAGCAACTTTGTTGCTATGCAACACAATCATACAATGTGACATCACATGACTGTGCCAACTTAGAGTTGTGGCAGTCCCAGTTGTCATTGTTAGGCAAATCCCATGCAGTCCCAGCATCCTGCAAGCGATTTGAAAACACTTGCCAGCTTCTTCATGGACTTTGCTTGTGGGAAGGTAGCAACGAAGATTACAAATGGGGATCACGTTACTGCAGGACACTGCAGTGTCATAGTTGTGAGCTTGTTGCCAAGCACTCCTTGTGATTGCATCGTTGTAGAGACACTGCGAAGGCCACAAGTAGAAGGACCTGTCAAAAGTCCCCTTTGTCCAGCACTTTCGTAAGTTAGAACAGTTTGCTAAACACGTGGTCTTTAAATCACATCCATCTTCGTTCATTTATAATGCATTAGACTGATGGATTCTCATCACTGGTTTGAGTAAAACAAAAAACAAAAAACAACTGGGCATTTTTAGATTTGTGTAAGCATGGATATAAATAAACATTTATGAGGAACCCTTTTCAAAGTAGTCATAAAAAAACAGCTTCTATTTCTTAGTCTTCCCGTGAGCACTGATTGAATTGGGGCGGAAAAGGACAGACAAGAAAAGAGAAGAGTGATTGCGATCTCATCCTATAAAGATTTATTTGGATCTCCCCCCATCCTTTTTTTTTTTTTTACTTTGAAATGAATTATCTTCCCATAATTTCTTAGGAAAAGAAACTGCATTTGAAAGTTTTGGCAAAGTTAGAAAGAGCTAAAGCCAAACTAGACTCTTCCCATTGCAACAGACCTGTGATGGAAGGTGGAACCTGGAATGAGGATAGTGTCAGGATTCTAAGTAACACATCCATAAAAATCAAAACTCCAAGTCAGTTCTAAAAACAAAGGCTTAATAATCCATTTTAAAAAATCATTAAAAGATGTCAAGAATAGATCTATTGGATACTAGCTCGATACCCATGCTTCACTACAAAACTATGCGGTCAGGCTTAGTTTTGGGGGAGGAAAAATAAGGGAAGGAAATTCTGCCTCTGCCTACCAGCATCCATCAATATTCATCTGGTTAGCATCCTGTCAGTGTGTTAGAGAGTTGAGGTCTGTTTGGAAAGTGAAACAGTATTTGCTGTGTGAGCAAGAAGGAGACAGCAAGGAGCCTGGGCATGGCTTAGCTCAACTGTTCAGCGCTAAAGCTGCTTGGTGCTGTGAAGCTAAAACCAAAACTGAAACTCCTCTCCTCTGCTTGTGTTTTGCATTTGGAAGAGATTTCTTTTCAGGTGGGGAGGGGGAGTAGAACTCCTTAGCATCAGAGCATGTTAATAATAATATACAAAATACTAATGCTCTGATGGTCATTTTGAAAACTCCTTTCTCTTAGTGAGCACCTAGAAGCCAAGAGGAACATATATGCTAAATTTCAAGTTTGTAGACTTTACAGTTCTGGAGATTTTGTGATGATGCTTGAGTGGTATTTCGCTTTTATATATACATAGATGTCATATTGGCACGAGCTACTGAAAACTGACTCTAAATGTTCCCGCAGTTTTCACCTAATTAAAAATAAAAATTCTTTCACTTTCTCCAAACAATCTATCACGTGATCCAATCAGGATACAGTCCAGTTGCTCGATGACTCCAGTCCCCTCCTTCTGGACACCTGGTGGGAATGTCCTTGGTTCCCAAGAGAAAGTATTTTATTTTGGCTACAGCATGCCAGCTATCTTTACTTCCCCATCCCTTTCCCATGGCTCCAGTTGTGGCCGTATTGGTGCCCCAAAATGGCTACAGCTAGGTCAGCTTCAGGGTTGACAGGTGGATCTCCAGGAAGGAGGGGCTGCAGGAGTAAGAGGCACCTTGATCCAGATATCATATGTGAGAGAAAGGGGGTGAAGACAGTCCCTCCTTAACAATTGACAGAGTATATTGTAGATGCAGGTAGTAGAGTGGTTACCCTGACATGATATTGTCTATAGAATAGACATAGAATAGAATAGAATAGAATAGAATAGAATAGAATAGAATAGAAT